GGCAGCAAAATAAAAGAATTTGTGAAGAAACATGAGGAATGGACTATTGTCGCTGTCGAGGCAGGACAGGAATGAGGAGACTGACTCAGAAGGCTGCTGAGAGTAAAAACTCTGGTTTATTCAAAATACCCTGCTCTTTTATACAGAGCTTCGTGAGGACCAACTCTATTGGTCCTGAAGTGAAAACAACCCAGACCATTGATGCAGAGTGCTTGACACACAGTGATAGAACTTAACTGTAAACAATGTGAATAACAAGAGAGATAAAGAATTATTGACTTCTTTTCCAACTCTTTCCCAGGCTTCTGCCTGGCTGGAAACGCCGGCTTCTTTCTTTGACTGAATCTGAAACCCACAGACTATCACATCGAAACCGGGTGATACTAAATTGACTTTCAACTAGGACTGGGTGGTAATGGTTTGGTAAAACCCAAATGATCCAAAGAAGGTACAAAGAATAACACCTAACTGAGAAATAAGGCAAAGCTTGCATCACTGGTTCTAAGCCCTGCCTGAATAAACCCTGAGAGGCCTCCGACACCTCCTTGGGAGAGGAATACTGCCACTTCAAACAGGAGAATCAGGACTGTTTTAGTCAAAGAGTTCTTATTCTGGCCTTAGCCTGTGACTTGTACAGGGAAGAAGGGAAATTACCATTAATACTATAATGTATACTTTATTTGATTCATCCCCATACTGGACATGCTAGCTGGATTATAAGTAAATGTTTAAATTATGGGAATAATTGGCACTGTAGTTCACAAAATCTATGTTCTTGTTGCAAGAAGTATCGAGTACTGAATCAATCCCTTATACAGAAAGAACTCAAAAATGAAGTAATAAATTGCTTTTGTGGATGGGAATTATCAGTGCCTGTGGACTGAGAGATACCTGAGGAATGGTGGGAAACTGTAAAGACGTATGAGGGTTCCACGGACGGATTGGGGTGAATATAAGCGAGATCTCTGCTGATTGCTCTTGGAGGATAAGGTTTATTTGGGATGGAGAGAGGCCCTGCCTCGAGCTGCCAGACACAGCACGTGCTGGGGCCTGAGGTAAAGGGGGAGGGGAGAGACAAAGGGAAGAGCAGAGACTCCAGGAGGGGGAATCCAGGAGGAAGGAGGAAGTTCTAACAGGGGAGGGGAAGATCCAAGAGATCGTCTGGCCTCTCGGAGACCCCTTATCGGGGGGGGCTTCAAGGTGGGCTGGAACAGGACCTGGGCCAATGGGGTCACAGACACCTGATGGTTCAGGGGAGGGTTACAGGTGTGGGGTGAACCATACATTCTGGGGGGTGAGATCCAACAGTCCATTTGGCTTTTGGACCCCTCTGTAGGTGAGGTTATTGTCCAGCCAGTAGGGGGGTTGTTTTCATCCTGGCTGTACTATTGTGGTTCTTCTGCTACACAATCATATTTATCTATCCTTCCCAACAGGAAACCACAGTTAAAAGGTGTCAAAAACAATTTGCCTGGAAATTAGTAAAAAAGTAGTGACAAGGGAAACAGAGGGCAAGCCTGGATTGACCACTGTACTCGTCACCGAGAACATCACAGGTATCTGCTGTGGGAAGCAAATCCATAGGCAGGGGAGGTGGGGGTATAAGCCATACCAGACCTCTGTTATTCCTGTTTCTGTCTCTCATTTGTTGTCTTTTACCTTTCGAGATACCAGCAAGATCGTGTCACAAATGCTACAGGAAAGTGTTACATGGAAAGAAACCAAAGTTCCTTTTTTGTTACGCACACCCATGTCAACAGCCACTGTTATAACCCATCCAAATTAAGTATCTGCAGGAAAAAGGGGGGAAATTATTACATTACAAAGAACTTGGGAAAAAGTAGTAATACATGGGGCATGGAATGTCCAAAAGGAGAGAGATGGATTTGTTTTACATTTGATCTGAGAAATATAGTCCAAGATTTGGTAAAGAGACAATTAGTAAACAAACAAACAAACAAAAAAGGTAAAACCAGCACAGCAGTCTAGCTCTGTATTGACCCCAAATTATATACTGAATCATATTAAAGGACTCCAAGAAGTTACAGAGAAGATAACAAACAAAGCTGCTCAGGCATTGGAATTAATATTGAGTCAGCAAAGCCAAACAATAACTGTAGTGTATTAAAATAGGTTGGCTTTACACTATTTATTGGCTAAAGAAGGGGGTGTACAGATTGTTGAAAATAGATGGCAATGGGGAGGTCATCCTGGAAAAAACAAAGGATGTCAGAAAAAAAAATTATGACAGGTATTAGTCCAAAAATGAGAAAATAATGTTAAAAACAAACAGGTGGGGTAATGTATTGAGAATGGTATGGTGGAAGAAATTAGGATTCTTCCTTTTATGTGGTACAAGTGTTTTGATGTTTCTTTGTTTAATCCCATGTTTGATTTGATTACCAACAGAGTCCAAAGAATGCAAGAGGATAAGAAATATTGCTCAATCCAAATGATTTATAAAGAATATGAGGAGGGATTGTGAAAAATGCATATTTTATGATTGACTTTTCGCAAATGTTACAATGAATATTATATGTCTAACGTTAGAAAGTTATGCTGTATTAATTCTCTTACGTAGTGTGTTACATGTAGTTTTAGGTTTCAACATAATGTTAAAATAGAAACTCTGCATTACAGGATTTGTTACAAGCTCAAGCAGGAAGATGAGATAATCAAGAAACTCTTCACACAGAGATGTCAGCGAAGGGGGCCCATAAAAAGTTACTGCCTCCTTATCAGAAAAGACAAACATTCTTCCACCTTCTCTCCATCTTTGTGGAACCAACAGGATTAAGGAGAAGTTGACAAAAACTGTGGGAACCCAGGGCTTCCCTCTGGCTGCCCTGGCAGGTCTGGGACCCTGGCAGGGGTCAGGAACCCCCCTGGACAGAGCCCCCAGAGACACTGTCTGTGATCTCTGTCCATGGAGAGGAGTTTTCAATCTTACAGGATGAATTACAAGCTCTGAGTGTTTAATATGAGTAATAATACAGTGTGGCACGGGTGCAAAAGTAAAATTTTAGGTTTCTAGATTAGGGGTTCAGAGGGGACAAGATGGAGGAAATTGGGTGTGCCTTGTCCTTTTTCTCCTTCTTCATGCCCTCCATGTTTCACTGTAGTGTTGGCATTTTTCTGTTGGTTTAGGCTGCGGACACACTGTTCAACGTAGGTGACAGATATTGGCACGTTATTGTAAATACAGCACAAGTAGTTTGTGGTATTTAATGTTTGTAACATCCCACTGAGGGCAGAGCCCCACACGCTGTCCTGCAGGACAGAGCTGCGGCAGGGCAGCAGAACATGTTAGAGATAAACAGAATAAACAACCTTGAAACCAGCACAGACGAATTATGGCTTCTTCTTTGGCAGCGGGGCTGAAAGACAGAGACTTTTTACAATCTCGGAATCATCAATACCACAGATTCCGACAAAAAACCAGAAAAGTTCTTAACTTGTAAGGAATTTATGCATCATGTATGAGATATATGAATATGCAACAGGCCATTGCTTTTAAGGTTATTCCTTTGTTCACAAGGTATGCTTTCCATGACTTAGTGTCCGAGAACATCTGGACGTCCGTAGTTCTTTGCTTTTTATTGTCTTGTAATTGCCTTAACTCTAAACTTTATTACTCTAATTGTATTACTATTTTTATAACCCTTTTATTATTATTAGACTTTTAAAATTTTAAAAACCAAGTGATTGGCGTTTTTCACATTATCTATGATATGTTAATGATATATGACTTATATATGTTAATGTAAAATATATCTCAAACTGATATAAATGGGTATAGAATTAACTGAGTGCATAGTTCTGGAAACTAAGTAGTTTGGGCTGGAGCTTTGGATTGGAAATATGCTCAATGTTTGTAAAATAATTAGTGAATTAAAACATGAATTATAGAAGACATCCTCTCCTATGCATGGTGTAGTATAATAAAAAACTGATTAAATGCTTACTAAAAAGATATCTACTTTAGATACAATTTTCTAGAGCTCAGTCACACCTGAACACTTGCTTCTCTACAGCAGACCTGTACAACAAATTTTGTCCCTGGTCCAGCTGGGCAGGAAACATCCTGTTTCTCACAGGGCTCAGAGCAGGCTCTGAAGCAGGCAGTTGTGAGCAGTGGTGTCTTTCTGGGCAGGAAGGTTGGGATGAAGCTCCCAGCCCTCTGCCCAGCTGGGTGCCAAATATGGGCAGGGGGAGAGCCACACTCAGGACGAGCAGCTGGATATGGGTGTGATAAAAAATTTCTCTGAGGTGCAAAGTTGTCCTAGGGTGACCTTATGGTGCTTGTATCCCCAATTGTGTGTTCTGTTTATGTTTGATATTATGTTCTGTGCTTTCAGAACTGACTCTGAAAGTGAAGGTTTGTTTTGTTATCAGCCAGCTCACCTCCCCCATGGTCCATTGTCTAGAAGAGGCTAGTGCTGGCTGGCTTGGCTTTGCTTGCTTGCTTGCTTTTGCTGGCTTGCTTTGCTTGCTCTTGCTCCTGCTTCTGCTTTTGCCTTTGCTTTTGCTTGTTAGTTTAGCTAAGCAGTCCATTTTTTTCCCTGGACTGTTTTTTTTTTTCCTTTCCTTTCCCTTTCCTGAATATCACTCCAACCTGCTCCGGACTGGGACATGGGAAACACTGAGGAGCACCGAGAGTCTGCGTTTTGTGATCTGCAGCAGCCATCCCCAGCGCCAGAGAGCAATCCCCAGCACCCAGACCCAGGCCGATCATTCCCAAGAGAGACTCTCTGGATTTGTCATCTCTTCAGAATGGTGAAAAAGTATTTTTGTCATCTGGTATTGTTCATTTTTTGGTGCTAGGGAGTGTTTTGTTTGTTAAATAACAGGTTTTTTTCCACTCCTCTCTGAGAAAATTCTGCCCAAACCAGGCGGGGGGGGGGGGGGGGGGGGGGAGTGCTGTGTGGGTTTGTTTTCTGGGGGTTCCTTCCAGAGGTTTTCTCCCAAATTTGCCCTAAACTAGGACAAAAGTCAAGAAAAACTCAATCGCTGTCTGCTAATTATCCAACAGCACTGAGGTTCATGCCTAGAAAAAATCTGAAAGGTTTTCGAGAAGACAGATGAAGCCTTTGCAGCGCTGTTTATTCCAAAACAACTTCAGACTATTCATTGGCTGAGATGTGGAATGAGTCAGCAAGACTCATGTGGAATGAGTCAGCAAGAAACTCTGTTGTAAACTGAAGTAGAAGAAATCTTGAGAAAAATTGCTCATAAGAAGAAATTTCTTGCTCTGAATCTTACTGCTGTGTTGTAGACTAAACAACCATTAGTCATCTACCTGCTTATGCAACCACAGAATAAAATGCCCTTGATAGGAGGAGACCAGGACATGGAAAATGCCATTCCACTTTTTAAAAGGGATTTGAGGAATCATTGATTTTACCATCTCTATCAGGCAAACATAAGGTGTTGCTGCAGCTCTCTCCACAGAGAGCAGCAGGCACAACTTTCACAGGTATTTTCCCTGGGAAGGCTGTGAGGAGATTAGAGAAAAGAATGAGAAACAATTCTTATCTTCACTTGCTGCACCTGCTGTTGTGCACATGTGGAATGTGTTATGGAGATTTGTTTACCAAAGGGTGTTTTCCTTATTTGCCACTAGTGATGGTATTAGGATTTCAATTGGGTCTGTCTGTATTTGACTGTCTGTAAGAGTGATGAGTTTCTTAATTAGTATAGTATAGTATAGTATAGTATAGTATAGTATAGTATAGTATAGTATAGTATAGTATAGTATAGTATAGTATAATAACGTGATTGATTCTGGAATCAAGGACTCAATGCTAATTATTACCATCATGAGGATGCCCTGCTACAATAAGCAGTGGACACCTGACACTGGGTGCAGGCTAGGCTGAAGAACCAGGACCCTAATGGATCCAAGCCAAGTTTGCAGCCGAGGCTGAACATGGGAGGGTCTGCTGACCCCTCACAGAAATCGCATCTGGCAACTCTTCGTGGAGTTGCAGGCTGGGCAGAACCACCTTGGGACCCCGCTGGGACCCTACTGAGACCCCACCGGGACTTCATCAGGACTTCCCCAGAATGCTGTCAGACCCCTACCAGGACCCACAGCGTCCCACACAGCCTGCTCATAACTGGACACCTCCTGCTTCCCTGGAAAGGTAACACTGACCTTTCTCCACATCTTCCTGGAGAAGATCTGTCCATTGGGACTGCATTTTGGCCCCATAGCCTAGAGGCTGGGGTTTGGAACAGATCTCTCAACAATTGCACCACCCCCTACCCAGGGTAGACTTGCAGTTGGGAAGAGATGCCTGCAGAATTGGGCATCCAATTTTCTGTGTCAGAAGAGGACACCCTTGATGTGTGGAAATTTCTGGCTCGTCATCACAGTCTCTGTGTGTCAGAAGAGGTTCTCTGGAAGTTTTTAAGTTGGGTGAAAGCTCATACTTTCCCCAAGGATGTGGTATCCTCCCTGGATCCGCGGGTCTGGGACTCACTGAGTCTCTGTCTTTTGGGGGAACTCAGGCAAGGTGGGAGATCACCTCGGCAGCTACCAATGTGGTCACTGCTTTCCAAAGCAGTAAGGGGCCAGACCCCATTGGAAAGCGAACCCACCTTGGTAGGCACATCCCAGTCGGGCTTGGAGGAGCACTTCCCTTTGGGCAGGTGGCCTTCAGCCTTTCCACCGCAGACATCTGGGAACAATCCTTTCACGGACAGCCACCGCTGGTTCCTTCCCCCGCCGCACCGCGGGGTGGGGGCGACACTGCCCACTGAGCACTCGAAGCAGCTCGCTCCGGGCTTCTGGCACATGTGCCGAAGTACCGAAGCCTTCAGCGGCTCCACTTTCGCGGTCTGCAGTTATTCCGAACGGAGCTGCGGTCGCTCCTGCCCCTTTGCCTTCGCCAGCACAAGAGGGACCATCGCCTCCTCCTCCCCGTGTGGCATGTGGATTGGCCCCGCCGCTGGGTTCCCCCACCCTGCACCACAGGAGGGGGCAGAGCCGCCTCTGCCGCCAACAAGGGGGGCAGCCGGTTCTCTGACAGCGGCCAGCAGTCCTGTGCTGGAGAGCATGTCTAGCCCTCCTGTGCCGCAGCCTGAAGCCAGTGCATCAGCAGCGTCGCCCGGAGCGCCGGCCGGGGACACCTTTTCCACCGACTCCACCAACTCCAGCTGGCTCGGCTCCCATCTGGGACGTGACCTGTGGCACCACCCCACCTTGCTGCTCCCGGCTGCCTCGCCCCCTGCTGTTTCCCTCGGGTTCCCAGGGAGCACAGACAGGGAGATGACAACAGTGAGCATCAACAGCCTGTCCCTCGGCGGGGCGTGCCCTCACAGCTGGGCACCAGCCCGTGCCGCGAAATCTGGAGATCGACATTCCTCGGGGACAACACCTTCCCGCTCCCGTTCCCGGGATGGGAGGGGTGGGGTCCCAAGAAGCTGTGGCTTGGTCGATGCCTGGGAGGGGCGGGGCAAGGGCGAAACGCCAGGGGGGTTGCCGAGACATTGGCAGCGTGGTGAGGGTGGGCGGTCAAGGAAAAGATGGAAGTGAATCGCCCATCTGGGGATGGGCATGGGCTGTGACCCCAGATCCAGGGGCCCCAAATGATACCAGTACAAAGCTGGGGCAAGGGAACAAGCCGAATGAATCTGGGCTCAGCAGCAGGACCGGGTCCCCCGCCCACTGGGTCTGGGTCCCTTGGCTCACCCACCGCGGACTGGTCCCCTGCCCTGCTCATCGTGGCAGGGTCTGTTGTGGTTTGAAAACAAAACCAGTGAGAGGCTCCAAATCAGAAATACAATTTATCAGGAAAAATGAAAAAAGAAAATAAAATACATGCAATAATACAAAAGAAAAACAACACTGACAGAGTCAGAATACAACCTGCCACCCTTTTGGTCAGGGTGTTGGTAGCAGTCCATGTTGGAATGGCTGTAGTCCTGGAAATCCAGCCGGAAAGCCTGAGTCTGGTGTCCCAAAACCCCAGATTATATCCAGTTAGGAAGGCTTGGCTTCTCCCTCTGGGTGGAGCATCTCACAATGGGATGCTATAGCTCTTATCAGTCATGCAGTGGCATTCAATAGCCCACTATCAGCAGATGTCCTCCCTGAGGGCGAACTGGTTGTGAAAGAGATAAGGAAAACTGCCCACTTAACAGAAGACAGCTGCCATACAGATGGCAAATGGAATACACCTTGCCTTTCAATCTGGCACAGGGTCCTATTGAAGTGATATGTGGAATAAGTAAATAGATTCCACAACCTGGGGTAGTTATGAAGTGGGTATGTATTGTCAGCACCCGGCACAATTGAGATGTCTCTCCAAAAACTTGTACCGGGCACTGACAATATATATTCAATATATTCATAACTACCCCAGTTTGTGGAGTCTGTTTATTTACTCCACGTATCGCTTCAGTTGGCAACCACAAAGGGACTGCTCTGCTCACCCGCAGGTTCGGTTGAGAGCAGACGCCCTCAGGTGCCGCGGGGCTTTTTCCTGGAGGGACTCTGCGCCTCGGCAGTACACTGCGGGGAGCAGACCACAGCCCCTTGCGACTGTGGACAGAAGCAGTATCGATTAATTTATTTTCTAAAGGTTGGCACTGATAAGTCGCATTAAGATGTTTTTGCACGCAGTTTTACCCAGGGGCTTGCAGGCAGAACGCCACCAGGGGTGAGACCGGTGGTGGGCGATTCCCCCCCCCGCCCCCCCCCCCGCCTGATAGAGAGGCTCAGGTGGGGAAGAAATCGTCATTTCAGTGTAGTGTGTCCCAGTTTCGGTGTGGCGTGTCTGTTACGTCCGGACGTGAGCGCCTGTGTGTGTAGCTGTGAGTGAAACGGCGAGGCGTGGCGTGCCAGCCCTCAGCCGGCAGTGCCTCACGGAGCAGACTCCCTGATAGCGCAGCGAGTGCGCATGCGCGGCACGGGCCGCCTGTGGCGAGCTGGGGGAGCGCAGCGCGGGGCTTAGGCCGGGCCTTAGGCCGGGCCTTGCAAAAGCGCTCTGGGCGCGGCCTAGCTGATAGTGCAGCTGGTGGGCGCGGGCACCAGCCGCGCTTTGTGGGGTTGCTTTGAACGCCGCTAGCTGATAAGTGCAGCTAGTAGGAGCGTGGTACAAGTTGGGACTAGCAAACACCACTTACAAGTATCGCTGGTTGGTAAGGGGAAAAATCCAGCTAAAAGTAACCAGCGAGCCCGCCTGGGCTAGGAGTTAAGTGTTTGTTGTGCGAGAACACTGCCCTTTAGTGCTAGAAGCTGTCATTGGGAGATCCTTTGCGTTATGGGGTTTGCAGCTAGGTTCTTGTTACAAGTGAGTGGCGATCTGCCCACAGTGGCTGCAGAACTTCAAGCCCGAGCCGAGAGAGCCCGGCCTTCGAGACAGGCTCTACACAGGTGGTTTCAGCTTTGACCAGGTCAGTCTCTTCATCCATCAGGAGACTGGGTAGTCATAGAACGGAAGGACGGAGGGAGAGACAGAGCATTCTTGGGAGGGATATACCAAAGTTCAACAAGTTGCTGTCTAGCCTTTGACTGGGAACAACCGCCAGTCGAACGGGCGCTGAGAAACCCCTTGAGGTGGGGTCTAGAAGGATTAATCCCCTGTTTCGTGTGCGGATTGACAATCTTTTGCTAAAGCCGGAGTAGCACACAGTTTGGGTTTTCCTCCGATGCTTGAAGTGTCAGAGGAGGTGGTATTGTATTTCATATAGGCGGAGATCCACATGTCGTGCGTGTACCCCTGAATTACTGAGATACTATAACCCAGAGGTTGCACAATGTTATATGTAGTAGCTATAATTCGCACCATTTCTAATATGATATATGTGATATTGAATATTTGTTTGTATTAGGATTCCCTCCCACCCTCGCAGGCGAGACCGGGTGTATATATTAGAAACTGATTTACAAATAAGAAGGTCTGGGGAGATACGGGAACCCCAGGTGCTGATCGTTCGCATGAACGACCCGAGATGGATATCATGGAAATCCTTGGGCAGATACATGTGAATGCAGCGTTCCCATCCCGAATTCCCGTAAATTTCATCAAGGGATTCAACAAACTCTGGACACTGAATTGTTCTCGCTCATCACCAAAAAAGAAAATTTTATTAACATATGGACTCTGAATAGAAGAAAAGACTGATTGCTGAAATCTTGGCCTCAGGCGGAATTTTCCCTATAAAAACCCCTTGTGCCAGAATGGAGGTGTGTGGGCATGGAGGAAAACCTCTGCTGAGGCTGACTCCTTGTTGCACACCCAGGGCCGACCCCGGGCTCGGCTCTGTTCTTTCCTTGTGGCTGTCTAGATAGAATTTGATTGCAAAATAAATATTTTATTTTTTCATATTAATTTGGCTGGACAAATTTTCATTTATAACAAACAAGCAAGGTGCGAAATAGTGAATTTAATCTGTGGGAAAAGCCACCTAGTACCTGAAACATGGGATGTTTGAAGAAGACTGGGAAAGGATGAAGGAGTGGTACAGCCTTAATATTAAAAGGAAGAACTAAGGAAATTTTTTCTTTTCTTTCCTCCCCAGTGGTTTGGATTGAACCCTTAGGCATTCATAAATTTATGTGGGACTGGGCAAACAACAAATTAACAACAATTGATGGTTAATTAATTAATACAATAAAATTTTAATAATAAAAGTATTACTGATTATTAATTTAGCTATAAATATTTTAATTTAGTCATTTGTATAACTATAATTTTTATTATTATTTTAATAATTATTAATTTTGTTTTCATAACAAAAAATGTTTTTTTCCTTTTTATCTGTGATTATATTTGAACACTCAGAACTGAATAAGTTTGCTCTAAAAGACACAATGGGAGCAAAACAGAGTAAGGAAGTATCTATGGCCACCCCACTAGACTTTCTTTCCACTGGAAAGAAATAGGAGGCAAAGGGGGCATGGAAAATAAGTTTAATCAAATATTGCTCCCATTGGTGGCCACTCTATCACCTAGAGGAGGGGCCCAGATGACCTCCTAGAGGTACATTAGAATATAATATCTTGTTACTGCTAATGTCATTTCTACAGAGAGAAGGGAAATGGGAGGAGGTTTCCTATTGTGATATGTTCTACTCCCTCCGAAATAACCCTGATTGGCAAAGAGACTGCAGCATCAGGGCTCCCTCTGACCCCCTTGTTCTGGTTCTTGAAAAAGAAAACAAAAGCAAAATGGGAGAACTCAAATGGTGCTGCTCAGCCTGTAGCATAAGACAGAGGTGCATCAGAACAGATAAAGTTTATCGCACAGCACTAGAGGGACAAGAACGAGATCTAGGCAACCTATTTAGCCCTCACTTGAGAGGGCAGGGGGGGAGGGGTGTAAACTTGGGAAGGACATCAGCACCACCTACACCACCTCCTATTCCACCTGTCCCACTTACGCCCCCCATTCCATCTATTTCACCTATCCTACCTGCACCTCCCATTCCACCTATTCCACCTATCCCACCTGCACTCCCCATTCCATCTATTTCACACATCCCACCTGCACCTCCCATTCCATCTATTCCACCTATCCCACCTGCACTCCCCATTCCATCTATTTCACACATCCCACCTGCACCTCCCATTCCATCTATTCCACCTATCCCATCTATTCCACCTATTCCTCCTATTCCTCCTACTACTTCTACTCCTACTCCTTCTCCTCCTTTGGAGAAGACACCTGCTTCATCCCCTCCAAGCAGCCCAGTCTCATCCCAAACCAGAGGACAAATATTACAGGCCCCTGTACAGGAGACAGTAACACCAGGTGGGGAAAGTTAAGTTAAGGTGCCCTTCTCCATCCTTGATTTGGAAGCATGGGAAAGGGTTGCGGGAGATTACTCTAATGACCCAGGGAACACTGCTAAACATCTATGATACATTATGAAGCAACACAATCCAGACTGGGGTGATCTCCAACTGTTATTAGATGCATTCACTGAAACAGAAAAACAGTTGGTTTTAAAAACAGCAGGGGATCTGGTAGCAGACCACTTTAGACAACAACAAGTGGATCTAAGGGAACACTTTCCACTTCAGGACCCAGGCTGGAACCAGAACCAACCAGAAGAAAGACAGAGGCTAAAGAAGTATCAGGATTGGATTATATTGGGAGTGGAAAGAGCAATACTAAAAGTATAAACTGGTCAGCTTTATATACTATTAAAGAGGGACCCTCAGAATCCCCCACAGAGTAGCTAGACCACCTGAGAAATGCAATGTGACACTATACACCACTGGACCCTGCATCTTATGTGGGGATACAACAATTAATTAATCTATTTTAGGGACAGTCCACAGGGGACATTAGGCACAAACTCCAAAAAATCCGAGAAGAAGATGCACACAATTTAGAAACTTTACTGGGGGAGGTTTGGAGGGTCTTTAGCAACAGGGAAGAGGGGCATAAACTTGGATAATAAATAAAGGGATGAAAAACTTAATAGCAACAGTGCAGAAGGAGCGGAGAGAAAAATGTGAAAGTGGGCAGGGGCCATCCAAGCTAGGCCCTCCTCGATTAGGCAGAAATTACTGTGCAAACTGTAAGAGACAGGGCCATTGGAAGAAGAACTGTCCAGAACGGAAACAGAATGGTCAAGGGAATCAAAGGGGAGGGGTGGTTGCCCACATGCAGAAGGATTAGGGGGAACCAGAGGAGACTACCCCAGCAGGCCATCTGAAGCTGGGGGAAGTGGAGAAAGAAGTAAAATTCCTAGTCCATACTGGGGCAATGCACTTGGTTCTAAATACAGCCTTGATGCCCGTAGGGGATGATTATGCTATAGTTATGGGATTGACTGGCCAAACTGAAAAGGCATTTTTCTTTAGGCCGCTGAAATACAAACTGGGAAAGCAGTGGAAGATCCACAGATTTCTATATATGCCCAATTCCCCTGAACCACTTTTGGGCAGAGATTTGCTGGGACAATTACAGGCAACCATTACATTTAAAAATGGGGAGGTGACTCTGGAAGTAAATGATCAAAAGTATGTAGAAGTATTGAGTTTGATATTAACCACTAGCAAAGTCACAAGAGGAACTGAAATTGATGAAGAGATAATGAATCAGGTATTCCCTGGGGTATGGGCCTCTCTATACGCTCTCCCTATACAGATCAGACTAAAAGAGGGAAAGCAACCTGTCAGGGTTAAACGGTATCCCTCGAGGAGGGAGGATAAGGAAGGGATTAGTCCAGTAATTGAAAACTTTTTGCGTCTAGGATTATTAAAAGAATGTCAATCTGATTTTAATACTCCTATCCTACCAGTTCGCAAACCTGATGGGTCATACCACTTAGTACAGGATCTGCGAGCCATGAACAAGGTAACTGAGGATCTGTATCCTGTGGCAGGCAATCCCTACACGTTATTAACTTGCTTAACATCTGAACTAACTTGGTTTACCATTTTAGATTTAAAAGACGCCTATCTTTTGCCAGCCAGAAAATTTTTGCATTTGAATGGGAAAGTCCTAAAAGCGGGTGAAGAGCTAACTTACATGGACCAGACGCCCACAATTATTCAAAAACTCACTCACTTTGTTTGGAGAACAACTTGCAAAGGAATTAGAGACCTGGGAAGCCCCTCCAGGAGGGGAAGATGTTACAGTACGTAGATAACATCCTGATAGCCACACAGACAAGGGAAGCGTGGTCTAGATGGCAAGCCTCTTGAACTTTTTGGAGCTCCAAGGGTACTGGGTATCAAAGAAAAAGGCCCAAGTAGTAAAGCAGAAAGTAACTTATCTGGGTTACAAAGTCAGTGCTGGACAACGTAGCCTGGACCAAAGCCGGAAGGAGGCAATATGCCAGACCCCAAAACCTCAGACTGTAAAGGAACTATGAACTTTCCTGGGGATGACAGGGTGGTGCAGGTTATGGATCTATAACCACGGACTGTTTGTTAAACACTTATATGAACTGACTGCAACTGAAAGCAGGGACATCCAATGGACAAAGGAAGCTACGCAGGCTTTCAACCAACTGAAAAAAGCTCTCATGTCAGCTCCAGCTCTGGGATTGCCAGACATGAGTAATGTCGCCCTGATTCTTAAGTTTTTCTAAAGCCTTCTGAGTTTACATTCTATTGGAAAACTTTCCCACACAGTTTCTGTAAATAACATATTGTTTTGCATTCCTTCATGGGGGTGAAGAAACTTGATGTACTAGTGGTTTGTCCAATGTCTTTGGAGAGGTGGCCCATTCACTCTCCAATCCACTGTCACCTTTGGAAAAGTATAAAAGTTGGAGTCAGAAAATAAACTTGCTCTTTTACCTTGCAAAGTGGCAGGTAGCTCGCATTGTGCTTTCTCGTGTCCTATAGCGACAGAGTAAGCCTTTGCTTTGGTTCTCCCATGAGAAGCAAGGAATCGCCTTGGGACTATTAGCACAGGACCTCAGCCCGTACTGAAGAGCAGTGGCTTACTTCTCTAAGCAATTAGATGCAGCCCCTAAAGGGTGGCCTGGGTGCCTCAGAGCTGCTGCAGCAGTTGTACTGAACATCCAAGAGGCACGCAAATCCACCCTGGGCCAGAAAATGACTGTGCTAGTGTCCCACACGGTGTCTGCAGTGCTAGAGGTGAAAGGCAGGCATTGGCTTTCCCCACAACGGTTCCTGAGATACCAAGCTATTATGGTGGAGCAAGATGATGTAGAGATATTGGTGACTAACTGTCAATCCAGCCTCCTTCCTCAGTGGAAACCAGGGAGAATGAGTGGAACATGACTGCCTAGAGATCATCAAGGCCACCTATTCCAGTTGCCCTGATTTGAAGGACAGCCCTCTCGTGAATGCAGAAGTCTGGTTCACTGATAGAAGCAGTTATGTCACCAGTGGAAACAGCACACTGGGTATGCAATTACTACCTGCAAGGAGGTAATAGAATCTGGGGCCCTGCCAATGAATACCTCTGTGCAAAAGGCCGAGATAGTTGCTCTAACTCAGGCTTTAGAATTGGCAAAAGGGAAAGAAATAAACATATACATTGACTCAAAGTATGCGTTTGGAATAGTGCATGTTCACGGAGCCACTTGGAAAGAGAGAGGACTCCTAAACTCTCAAGAGAAAAATATTAAACATGCATCAGAAATACTGCAACTTCTGGAAGCAGTCCAGTTGCCAGAGAAAGTAGCAATCATAAACATTAAGGCACATCAGAAGATAAACTCAGAATTAGAATAAGAGAATGAGCTGATGGATAGGGAAGCAAAAAAAACCAGCAAAACTGAGGTAATGACTGAGGCAGCCCTGGTTCCAGACAGGCAACTTTCCCTTGAAGGTAAACCAAAACACAACAAATTAGATGAAAAAACGATCCATGAGCAAAAAGGAGACTATAAACAAGAGGAATAGGCCACCATAGAAGGAAAATAAGTTATTCCCTCCTATTTATTATGATCCCTAATAAGGGAGGAACACCAGAAAATACACTGGGGTAGTGATGCCCTATATAAATATCTAAATGAAAGGATCATAGCTAGACGTTTATCAACTGTCAGACAAGTGACTTGACAATGTGACCTTTGCCTCCAGATTACCCCAAAAATATTCCCAAACCAAAACTTGGCCAGACTGGGAAGGGTCATGGGCCAGAGCAGCAACGGCAGGTTGATTTCACGTAATTGCCAAGAAAAGGGGGGATATAAGTTTTTACTGGTGCTAACAAATACCTTTTCAGGATGGCCAGAAGCTTTCCCCACCAGGACTTCTAAAGCTCGGGAAGTAACTAAGGTATTGGTACAGGAAATCATACCACACTTTGGAGTCCAGGCCACAATCTCCTCACATAGAGGACCACATTTTATTGCAAAATTAGTACAACTAGTTAGCCAATACTTGGGCATAGACTGGGAACTTCACACCCCATATAACCCACAATCAAGTGATCAGGTAGAGAAAATGAATCATTTGCTCAAACAACAAATTGTACGAATGGGACAAGAGGCTAATTTATCATGGCCTCAATCCCTCCCACTAGCACTACTGTGGATCCGAACCAAACCCAGGACTAAAGAAAAGCTGAGTCCCTTTGAATTGCTTTATGGGACACCATATGGGGTGCACAAGGGAATGTCTACCCAAGACGTGTCACTAGCCTCTTATATGATCGCTCTAAATAAACAACTTAGAGCAATTGAGAAATATGTGACTGGAACCCGGGGCACAGGGCTTGCTGCACCAGTACATGACATACAACCTGGAGACTATGTATGTGTTAAGTCTGTTACAGAGAAGGCCCTGGAACCACAATGGGAGGGACCGACCAAGTGCTCCCTACCACCTTCACTGCAATCAAGATTAAGGAAAAAACACTTGGATCCACCATAGCCGTGTTAAGAAAGCTCCAGAAGCCATTTGGAGAATAACACCAGGTGATAGTGAACTGAAACTGAAATTTACCCAGACAAAATGAATGTATCATTAATTGGAAGATGTTAGAACACGTGGGCATTCTGACTTCACTCTCTAGAACTCATGGAATCCTGCTGAAAGAGAACTGTCATGATGAAACCTCTGCCATGGTACAAAGGGCATAAGAAAACGCAAATTTCTGAAGCTTCTTGCATAAAGAACAATGCCTAGGGATGCAAAGAACCCAGATAAAGAAGCTTCCCTGTCTCCAAGCCTATCAAGACTGACAGACATACTCAGATAAGCATCAAAGGATCAAAAGCGCACACACAAAGGATAACAGTTCAAAAGTTCAACCATGAGGAAGACCACAATCTTCAGCCTCAAGAGACCACCAGAGACCCCCTGCAGGACCACCACAGCAAACCATGCTGTGAAGGCCATGGACCTATTTACATGAGAGGCAAGGACAGGTGGGGCCAGGGGTTGAATATGCATGCAAAAGTTGTGTAATGTAATGCATATGGAACACCTTTGAGAATAAAGGTGTGGGTCAGACTGAAGCTCGGTGCACAAGTTTTCGGAGAAGTATCTCACTTGTGCTGGGCGCCAACAATACATACTACCCCAGGTTGTGGAGTCTATTTATTTATTCCGCATATTGCTTCAAGACCATAGCAGGTTGTTTATTTGCTTTTGTTTTTCAAGAAGGTAAAGCTTCTTCCTTCCTCTTCTCTTCTCTTCTCTTCTCTTCTCTTCTCTTCTCTTCTCTTCTCTTCTCTTCTCTTCTCTTCTCTTCTCTTCTCTTCTCTCCTCTCCTCTCCTCTCCTCTCCTCTCCTCTCCTCTCCTCTCCTCTCCTCTCCTCTCCTCTCCTCTCCTCTCCTCTCCTCTCCTCTCCTCTCCTCTCCTCTCCTCTCCTCTCCTCTCCTCTCCTCTCCTCCCCGCTCCGCTCCTCTCCTCCCCTCTCCGCTCCTCTCCCCTCTGCCCCTTCCCCGTCCCCTGCCCCTTCCCCTTCCCCTCCCCCTTCCCCTTCCCTTCCCTTCCCTTCCCTTCCCTTCCCTTCCCTTCCCTTCCCTTCCCTTCCCTTCCCTTCCCTTCCCTTCCCTTCCCTTCCCTTCCCTTCCCTTCCCTTCCCTTCCCTTCCCTTCCCTTCCCTTCCCTTCCCTTCCCTTCCCTTCCCCTCCATCCCTCCCTCCCTTCCTTCCTTACAGCTAATTGGGAAGGTGGGCCTTGTTGAGAGGGCCTGTAGTTGACTGTCAGGATGGGATTAGGAGCCAGTAGGGAATCCCCAATGGGAGAAGGAAGAAGTGAAGAGATACCAACTGATGTACTCACAGATAGCCCACTGAGAAAGAAAATAGCCAGTGGAATTATGACCCCAGCTCCAGAGATAAGGACGAGCACATGGCAGTTTAGTTCCATGCTCCCAGCGCTGTCGTTTTTTCTACTTCATGTGAGAAAGAAAACTCACTTCTAAAATGTCAAAGGTTTAATAAATCTTAACAAAAATTACAACAAACTGAATAAGGAAAAATTACAGCACCGGGAGTCTCCGTAACTAGCAGCCAGGTGCTCGATTTCAAAATGGATGCTCTGCCTTTTCTACTCTTAGCTCTCCCAAAGTTTTGTCAGTCAATTCTTTCTCTGCCATCAACCGGTGGTGATTACTTTCTTATACCTTGATTGGAGGTCAAGTGTTTTCATGTTGCGCCTCCTGGTAACAAGCCAGCCCTCCCAAATGCCCTAACTACCAAGGCTATTACAATGGGGAGGGGAAAGAAGACTATAGGAGGACATACTACAGTAACATCATATACATTTACAAAACCTTTCTTACCATTTACATAATATCCATCTCTTAATTGTGAGAGCCAACTATGACATTATTAATTTATAACATTCTGTTTTCTGCATTTTTGTTAAGGTTTAATAAACCTTTGAAATTTTAAAAAGAAGTGTCATTTCTCACATCAGGATCTGTGTGTTTGCTGGCAATGGGGATCTTCCATTTTGCTCCACCAGCAGTCCTGCTGCAGCTTGATTTGAAGAGAGAACCCTGAATGGACAGGGAAGAAAGAGATAGTAATCTTAGCTTTTTTGTACATAAATAAAAGTTACATGACAACTGCAAAGGTGCATGAGCCTTGTGATAATATATGGATATCAGGAAAATGAATCCACAAACACCAGAGGTTTATGTCCAAAAAGAAGACAGAGAAGTCCTTTTACTTTATTCAATAAAGGGAGAGACCATAGGGTGTTCCCCATGAGGTATCTCAAATTTATACAGGATGCAGCCTCCTTTTTATCCTAATTTCCTGGCCAAATTTTCCTCTCTTTCCGCATTGGCTGAGGTACTTGAGATGTACAGACTTCCCAAAATGCTTAATATCCCTTCGAATGTAAACCTCCCTGTTTTTCTTTTTCCTTGTGTCTCTATTCTTTCTCTCTAAATCCAGAGATGTAGCACAGTCCTGAGTGAGTAACAGTCTGTGTCAATTAGTGATGTTATAAATGAAAATTTATTCAGACAAATTAAAAGTAAAAATAAAGTTTTTTTTTATTTTTGCGATCAAATTCTATCTTAGCCAGCCACAAGGAAAGAACAGTGCCGAGCCCAGGGTTGGCGCTGGGTGTGCAACAGAGAAGACAGCCTTAGCAGAGGTTCCCTCTGTGCCCACACACCGCCCTCTTGGTACAAGCGGTTTTTATAGAAAAAATTCCGCCCAAGGCCAGGATTTTGGCAATTAGTCCTTTCTTTCCATTCAGAGTCCTACATATTGATGAGATTTCTTTTCTTGGGACCGGCTGTCCCTGAGGGTTCCAAAGGAAGCTGTTGGGAAGGATAGATAAATATGATTGCATAGCAGAAGAACCACAATAGTACAGCCAGGATGAAAACAATCCCCCCTCACTGGCTGGACAATAACCTCACCTACAGAGGGGTCCAAAAGTCAAATGGACTGTTCCATCTCACCCCCCAGAATGTATGGTTCACCCCACAGCTGTAACCCTCCCCTGAACCATCAGGTGTCCGTGACCCCATTGGCACAAGTCCTTTCCAGCCCACCTTGAAGCCCCCCCCCCCCCCGATAAGGGGTCTCTGAGGGGCCAGACGCTCTCTTGGATCTTCCCCTCCCCTGTTAGAACTTCCTCCCTCCTCCTGGATTCCCCCTCCTGGAGTCTCTGCTCTTCCCTTTGTCTCATCCCTCCCCCTTTACCTCAGGCCCCAGCACGTGCTGTGTCTGGCAGCTCGAGGCAGGGCCTCTCTCCATCCCAAATAAACCTTATCCTCCAAGAGCAATCAGCAGAGATCTCTCGTCTGTGTCCACCCACACCGTCCTGGAGCCCTCTAACGTCTTTACAGAAGCCCCTTCCCCATCCCTTCCGCCGGCCCGCCGCCATTGCCGTGCGCAGAGAGGCGGCCGAGCCGCGCCACAGCGCCCCCTGCAGCCGCGGGGGAAGCATCGCCCCCGCGCTGCCCGGCAGCCAGCGGCGCCCCTGCTGGCTGTGCCCGGAACTGCGCCGCGGGGGAAGGGCCTGAGCCGGGACAAGGCCGCGCCGGGTCTGTGCTCTGCCGGGCTCGGTGCTTGTTTGCCCGGCTGTACACACACACGCTGTAAGGAACTGCTATTCCTCTTCCCCTATCTTTGCCTGAAAGCCCCGTAATTTCAAAGTTACAAAAATTAGGAGGGAAGGGGGTCATGTTCTCCATTCCAAGGGAGGTTCCTGCCTTCCTTGGCAGACCCCTGTCCTTCAAACCAGGACACAATGCCCTTTCCACTCAGTCCTCTCCATCTGTGCTGCATTCTATCACCCCCAGCAGCCTCATTAACCCAGATTTTTTTTTTTTTTTTAATTAGGGACCAAAGATTCATGGTATAGTGAAGGAATGTGTCCTGCAAGGGCCCAGCTCTCCCCTTGGTGGCAGAACAAAGAGGAAGAAAAGATTTATATTAAAAGCACTGAGCCAATCTTTATTATGAAACTCACATCTCTTACTGTCAGCAGTTTCCATGCAGAGAATGTACAGACAGGAAGTTTTCCTTCCAGGAAGGGGAACAGGAGTACAGTTTGCACTGTGATATATGGTGCTCCTTCAGTAGATGACTATACAAGAGGTTAAAAATCACTTAGCAGGCTCCTTTTTCTTTAGGTTAACATCTTGCTGCACTCAACAGGAAACAGTGCAGTCAAGTGCTGAAGAAAGGACCTGGATGCCTGGCCACTGTGGAACGGCCCAAAAGAAATCTGAAATTGGGCTGACTTTGCCAGCAGTGCACCTGCTGGACTGCTTGCAGAAAGCAGAGAACACTGCAGAGAGGTGAACACGGCGTGTCCCCAGGGGTGATACAGGCAGGTAGACGGGGCCACTCCACAGCTGCAGTAGGGGGTGAGGTAAAGGGGCCCATGGCCAGGGGCTCTCAGGACACTAGGTCTTCGCATCATCCCTAAGCAGTGCTGGGCTGTGGAGGAAGGCACTGCTCCCTGCAAAGTGCCCTGTGCTGCCTTGTCCACTGGCTATGTTTCACAGAATCAGAAAGTAGTTGGAAATGACTTTTTAAAGGCTATCTATTCCAAGCCCACTGCAATAAACAGGGACACCTTCCACTAGACAAGATTGCTCCAAGCCCTGTCCAATTTGGTCTTGAACATTTCCACAGGTGGGCTGCAACAACTTCTCTGCGAAAATTGTTTTACTACCCTCACAGTAAAGAAATACTAAAGAAATACTTAAGAAATCTATTCTAACCCTGCCTTTTGGCAGAGGGAAGCCATTCCACCTTGTCCTGTCCCTCCATCCCTTGTCACAAGTCCCTCCGGAGCTTTCCTGGAGTGCCTTTAGACACTGGAAAGAGCTCCAAGGTCTCCCTGGAGCCGCCTCTCCTCCAGGTGAACACCCCCAGTTCTCCCAGCCTGGATCCAGAGCAGAGGGACTCCAGCCCTGGGAACATCTCCATGGCGATGTCTGGACTTGCTCCAGCTGCTCCACATCCTTCTTGTGTTGGGTCCCCAGGGCTGAAGGCAGCTCTGCAGCTGGGGTCTCACCTGAGTGAGTAGAGGGGCAAAATCTCTCCCCTCACATGCTGCCCACACTGTTTGAACCCAGGTAACCTACGTCGCTGTAGCCAAGTACTATCAGCACCCGCAGACTAGGGAATACTATGGGCCAGGGGAACAGCAAATGAACGTAGGATGGGAATAAAGATCGTGGGAAGAGCGAGATACCGCCTAGGGAAACGGAGTTGGTGCTGTCACTGTCCCTTCCCAGCCACAGCCAGGCTGAGCTGCAGCTGCCGGGGCGTGACGGCAGGGCAAGGCCGGACCGGACACCAGCAGGGCCCGCGCTGGCGGAGGAACAGGACCCGGAGCCAGGCTAGCGGAATGGCACTGGCGGTGGGAGAGGAGCCGGAGCCAGGCTAGCGGAATGGCACTGGCGGCTCCCGGTCGCTGCCTACGGTGCTCGAGCTGCAGCGGCCCGGCAAAAACTCCTCCCACGCGAGGGCCCGGGGACGGTCAGTCCCGGTGCGCCGCACAGACCCTCCCCAGGCCCGGGTGCACCGCCCGGGGAACGGTGAGATGGCGGAGGCTCCCGGACCCGCGGGCAGCGCGGGGTACGGACGCGGCCGGCGTGAGCAGCCCCTTTAAGAGTGAGAAGACCACGGCGGCGCCAGACACGGCGGCCACCGCTCTACGCATGCGCACGGGCTGTCCCTGCGACTTATTCGGTGCCGCCGGCACAGGCGTCGCGGGCAGGGGTGGGGATTCGTGCTGTAGCGGACTTGCGCATGCGCAGGGCACGGCCCTACCGTGCGCTTTGTGGCGCTGCCGGAAGCGGGTGCGGGCCCAACGCAGCGAGCGGCGCTCCCGGTCCTGTGTGGCCGCGGCCCCCTGGCGCCGGCGGCCTGAGCGAGTGGCGCGCCCCGACATGACTGCCGGGCTCTCGGCGCAGGTAAGGCGGCCAGGCTTCCCGCCACGGCGCTATGGGGCTCGGCCCACTTCACCGCCCGCGGGGCCTGTGGCGCGGGCGCCGCCCGGAGCCTCCACCGCGCTGACCTCTGTGCTGCCGCGGCGGGGCCCGAGCGGGGCGGGAGATGGGCGAGGCTGTCCCGGGGCTTCCCCGGCGCCTAGCGCCTCGTTGGTGCCCCGGAGCCACCGCAGGGCGGGCGGGAGCGACTGTCGATGACACCCCCCCTCCCCCGCGGCGCAGGGCCCCTCTTGGCCCCTGCTCCGGCCCAGGGGTCGAACCGCATTTCGGGGCCCCGGGAGGAGCGTGAGGTGGCTACTCGCGCCCTTCCTCCCGCGTAGATCCTGCGAGCGGGATCTGTGCCCGAGGGAGGAAAAAGTTTGTGTCGCTGTTTTCCCGCAGAGTCCGACCAACAGCCCGCTGGTGCCGAGCATGCCCGGCTCAGGCCTCCCGGGCTCTGTCGGAATTCTGCTTCCCCTGTCTCATTTGGTCTCCCTGCCCAGTGGAGAGTAGATCCTATTTATTTGGCAAACGGACTCAGCAGCGAAGCTTCTCCCCGGAGTAAAGGGGCTGTGTCTGCAAGAGAGTCCTTCCTGCTTGAGCAGTTTGGAGACTTCACGAGAAACTGGACCGATGAATGAGTGCCAATGTAAAGGAAACTGTTGAGTAAAAATTTTTCTCAGTCGAGTATATTGTTTTGTGGTCAAGTTCATTAAATAGTTTTTTGCACAAATGAGGGGATTGCTGGAAGATAATTTTCTCAAACCTACTGTTAAAAATGATAGTGATGGTAAGAAGCAGAGTAGTCCTGATGTCTGAGCAATGATGCTTGAAAGCACCATAATAGCCAAAACACACAAAACATACAAAACGGACTGCTTTTGCTTTCCTATGGCTCTGCTCATCTTCACGTGTAACAGTACACAACTTGTAGGCAGTAGCCTTCTCTATAGTAAGTACCCTGCCTCCTGCTTTGGCCAGGCTGTGTCTAGCAGTGTTCCCAGGAGCTAGGGAGGTGATGTGGCCCATGAACTGGGAGTGCTGGAGATAGTGAGATCCGAGTCCTGTGGCTTAAATGGCACCTCATGTTTGAGACCCAGCTTCCCTGTGGCACATTCATGTGTTAACTTCTGCTACAGTAATGCAATAAAATCTGACAAACTTGTCTTCTCTGGGCAAGGGCAGCTGTGATTCTGTTCTCTGACCTTTGGTAGTGCTGTGGCTGAATGGCTTGGGAAAGGATGACAGAAGTTTGGTTGTTTTTTTTTTGCTTATCTCATCTCTTCTTGCCTCAAATATAGACTTTTAAAAAAGATTTATTAGTAATCCTGACATGCATATTTTTTAGTTCTTTAACAAAATATTCAAAATACCAACTTTCTATTGGTCTTTTTCTCATACGGGTCTTCTGTTTGGTTCTTGCCATTTTTAATTTTTGCCTGCTCTCTGCTCTGGCTGTTGTCCTTTACACACAGAGCATGCCTTGAGCATATCTCTGCAGATGGTCTTTGCATCTCTTGTACTACTAACCATTGTGTCTGCTCTGCGTTTTTGGTTCTAGTAAAAGCCAAGAAGGATCCACTTTTGGGACAGCTTATCTTTGTGCTTGAAGTCTTTTGCATCATAGGAAAATACTTCATTTTGCATCTGAAGCTGTGCACTGCCCTCCCTCAGTGCACATTTTCTGAGGAACTGCTCTGTACATGAGTACTGATTTCATGACTTCTTCCCTGCACATGCTCTGAACACCTCAACTTCAGGCTTGGACCTTCTGCATGTTCCTTCACAGTAGCTGTAGAATGTGGCTCTGTTTAGTTCTCACTGTCTAACTTTAGTGATCCAGGAGTTTAAATATTTTGGCTGCAGCTGTTCATATTAAGTCTTCGGAAACTGGAAATAGAACTTGTTTTTTTGAGTTTTATGGACTCATTATTATTTTGTGCTCACTGACTTCTGGAGTGTTTGAGAACTGAGGATCTTGGGTCTTCAGTGCTGCGACATTCCAGTTTCTGTGGTTTATATGGTGAAAATGACTGAAGTTTCTAAGATGAAACAGATTGGGAAGAAATACATAGAAATGCAGATTATTTACCACACTAGGGAATATTGGATTTAATGCTCAGTTTCATAGTAAATTAATGTCTCCTTGCTTTTGCTAGTTTTAATGCTGGCAATTTCTTTCCAGGTTTGTCTGTGAGAATGTGAGGATGTTTTATTTAGTGCAGCCTCCAGGAACATACAGTGAACACACAGCATACAAGAATGTTTATTATTCTACTCACCCTTCCTCTTAATCAGCTTTCTGAGAGTCCTTAGTGATTTGAGCCCCAATAAGACATATGTGTATGTGAAGTGCAAATATTCAGCTTAATGAAACTTGGGAGATGTTAGTTGGGCAAGTGAGGGTGCTTCTGAAATACAGAAGCATTGCAAAAACAGAAGTCAAAATCAGGTGTGATGTGACAGTTGCTTTCTTGGTCTTCAGTTTGCTGTTGCTGTTTCAGTAGTTACTGACAAATACAGCGTCTTGGAAGGGAGGGAGTCCTGCTGCTGCACAGCATTGGGTGCTCTTTATCTGAGGCAAGTTAGGAATCTCTCTGTGTGGAATCTGTCAGGAACATTGTTTCGGATATTAATGTGTGGAGACCTTTCAGCCTTTTTTAATTCCTGTCCAGTTAGAAGAAGCTGCATACTAGATAGATGTAGAGATAGTCCATTCCTAACAGATTGCAGCAATTTCCAATTCAAGTGGTAGTTGAACTGGAGTCTTAAATAAAAAATAACTTCTA